ATATTTTCAAGTTTGAAGTCGATTCTAAGAGGAAATAATCAAATAATCAAATAATTCATGTTATGAATCAACATTCTACTAGTTGTGTGGTGTAAATCGGACTCAGGAGTGGGGGGCGGGCGCTAGATTTGGACGCTGGCGTCCGACGCTAACTTCACGCAAGTACCCAAAGATGTTAACATGTTATGTTCAATTCTTGATCAGAATGATCAATGGATGTGTTTGATGAGCATTATCCCAGAATTTCTTCAAGAGAATAACTACAGATGTGATATTTCGGATTATAACCCACCGAAATATGATTCTGAACATTTCAGGTAAGTAAACCAAAACTAATGATCAAAATAGCTTCATGCACTAATTTTGAAGTATGTTTACATAAAAATGATAAGTTGTCATTATTAAAGATAGATTCATGCACCAGTCTAGAGTTGTAAGTTGCAAATTTTAAGTCATATTTAAAACACTCATAAAACATGACTTGTACGTAAATGTTTCCACTGAAAGTCAAGATTGATTTATGCGGCATCAACTTTCATCTTCTCTTTCATTTCCATTCTAATTTTAACACATATTTTATGCAGCACTTATTGTTTTCATAGGCACTCATTCCATCATATATACAGTGTGACCTATTTAAAATGGGTCAGTGTGACCCATTTTAAATGGGTCACACTGTATAAAATCATATACCATAAATTCAATCTTGTTTGTTGATGATACCTATTACTTGAATTTTATGGATTGTGAACGCCTTATACAATACAATTACCCTAAATCATCAACAATTCAATTCAATTGTTGTCTAGTCGAAACATGGTCGCAACAGAGACCCTAATAGTTGTTATCAATCGATTTTCTTTGAAATTGCAACAGAATTGTTCTATGGTTCATCATTCATAGTTAATCATTCATAGTGAAAGTTGAAGTGAACATGTTTGATCCAAATGAAACATTTGTGTGTGAGTTTTAGTCATAAAAAAAGTGTGGTAATGTATTTACTTTTTTCGAGAAAGATGAAAGAAACTAAACTCGGATGTATTCATTCTTTGATATCCTTTCTTTTATATCCAATCAGACCTAATCGTCTCATTACATGGATAAATTGAGGCTTAATAATTGCAATACACATAATGTAGTAACAGCATACATAAGAACATCATACACTTGTATCTATGGTATAATCCAAAGAAATGTGTCTAAATTCACTTTGAAGAAAGAATCCAATACAAACCGATCATTACATTCAAGTTGTTGGCTAGTCGAAACATGATCGCAACAGGGGCCCTAGTGGTTGTTACCAATCAAGGTGTAGTGAACATAGCGAGTGTTCCAATTTTATGAGAAGGTACATTACATTTGATCAAGGCTAACAGTTCAGGGAAATTTATTCTGATGTTGATAATTTCGTAGAGAACATCCAATATGCAAGATGTTACGAGTGTGAAGGCAGCCACGAAAATGTGTTGGAAATTCGAGAATAGAACGATTTTATTCAATAATAGAATAAAAAATATTCTGAGAAATAAATATCAATTCAATGTTCATGTCCCTCACAAATTATTTGGAATTTTTGATGGTCATTATACTAACATTTATTCAAAACAAAAATCAATAGCTTCTCTAATGTATTCATGGATGCTTTTTTGCATTTTTCTATGTGCTGAATTATTTTGCCGTTCCACCCTCACACGCCTCGACAACGTGATTCGCAATTTGTTATGACTTATTTACTAGTTTAGTGGAAAACAAGCTGATCTTTGAGGTCACAATTTGTTTACATAATCAATTACTTTATTGCATTTCACTGGTAATAAACGAAATGAGTTGATTTTCGAGTTTTTGATTTGAATAATTATCATGTGTATAATAAAAAACTTAGAAAAGAAAATGTAATTCACCAACATCTTTTATTAATTAGTAAATATTGCCGGGCAGCAAATCAACCCCCACCCACCCTTAAATTTATTCAGAATATAACCTAACATAATATAACCTAATAAAACCTGTATATCAGAAAAATATTCCGATATATAGGTTTTATTCAGCACATCTCATTTATGTAATAATAAAAAAATCCCTACCCATGATAATTGTGACGGAGTTATTGAATTTCATTTCAAACGCATGTAAGCGTGGTAGGGGTAGTTTTTCTGTCCGGCAAAATATTCTGAGACATAGGTCTCATTCAGTACCTCTCATAGTATGTAATTATGCAAAAAAATCCCCATCCACGAATATTTCAATGGAGTTATTGAATTTAATTTAGAAAACATAAAAGGGTGTGTGGAGGTAGTTTTTCTGTCCGGCAAAAATTTCAATATATGCTAAAATGAATACATTCAAAGAAAACAATCCCCATTCTCGAAATATTTCAAGAAATTATAGATTTTGATTCAAAAATCATTATAAACGCAGTGGGGGTTGATTTTTTCCCCGACAAAATATATCAACATATGTGTCTTGTTCTGAAATAATAATGAAAAAAAAGATTGACCAAGTACTTTGAGGACAATAAGTTCATTAATAAATCACAATTTGGCTTTGGCTTAAATCACTCAACTACTAGTGCAGCTACAAGGGTTGTGGAGAGGCTGATTGAGAGTCTTGAACAAGGTCACCATATGGGTATTACTCTCTGTGACTTGTCTAGGGCCTTTGATTGTGTTTCCCATGATATACTTGTATGGGATTAGAGGGGTAGCTAGTCATATGTATCTACTCGATCTCAAGCAGTATTTTATAACAACAGTTTGTCCAGTTTTAGGGATGTGAAATTTGATGTCCCACAGGGTTCCGTATTGGGCCCACTGTTGTTCATCATATATATAAATGACCTAAGTCCATTCTTATCTCCATATGCAAGTGTTCTATTTGCTGATGACACGACACTGATATATTCTCATAAAGATTACAGCTGCCTGATCTCTTTAGCTGCAGATGCCAAGGGGAAAGCCGAAAGGTGGTTCACTGCAAACAGGCTGAAACTGAACAATGATAAATCACAGAACTTAATAGTTACCACTAATACATCTCTACTAGTGGAAAATAATGTAAAACTGCTAGGATTTATTTTGGATGAAAGACTCAGTTGGTCAAATCATATTAAGCAGTTGAACTTGAAACTGTCCAGCTCACTTTTCAACTTACGACAACTTCGCCTTATTACCAACACTAATACTCTTAGAATCGCTTACTTCTCTCTTTTTGAAACCCATCTTAATTATGGAATATTGCTTTGAGGTAGCTCATGTGCTGCATGTAGTATATTTCGACAACAAAAAAAGCTATAAGGATCTTGGCTAATGCCAAGTATAGAGAAACTGCCCGACCACTGTTCAAAAAGTTGAAGATCATGACTCTTCCTTGTTTATTCATTTTAAGTACTCTTGTGGAGATCCATAAGAATCTACCAAACTTAGTTACACAGTCTGATATTCATCAACATAATACTAGAGGAGCATACAATATCAGAATAACCAGATATAGACTCACCAAATCGGCAAATAATTCTTTAAATTTTAGCTTATATAATATACTTCTAGATGACCTAAAAAAGGCCAACATGTTCTGTTTCAAAAAAATTATCAAACTTTTTTTAATTGAAATTTCATTTTATACACTAGATGAATATGAAGAAAAGGTGAAACAAGGTGGAATAATTTGATTTATGCTCACTGAGACATTATCTTTAAATTATTTACTCTTATATGTATATTCTGTTCATATTCTATTGTGGTATATGTCTAGTTTTATATCTACTTAATGTTATTATCCAATGAACAAACTTTTGTGACTTGCTACAAATATGCAACTGTATATAAAGTGGTTAAATAAAGTACTCACTTACTTACTTACATGCTAAAATGAACTTGTGGCTGTTTTCACACTGATCGTGGATGGGGATTTTTTGCCTGATTACGTACTATGCGAGGTACTGAATAAGACCTATGAGCCAGAATATTTTGCCAGGCAGACAAACAACCCCCACCCAGCCTTAAATTCATTCAGTATAAAATTTAAAAATTTTATTGAAATATTCGTTAATGGGGATTTTTTTGCATAATTAGAAACTATGAGATATGCTGAATAAGACCTATATCTCAGAATATTTTGCTGAGCAGAAAAACTACACCCCCACCCACCCCTATTTTAATTTAGATTCAAATTCACTAACACAATCAAAATATTCGTGTCTTTGTATTAGGGTAAGTACAAGTATAGATTTGTATTAGGGTAAGTACAAACCAACCAACAAAATGTTGGCAACTCATTGATGGATTCTAGCTATATATTTATTGGATACAGCTTTTTGATATATGTTTTTAACAATAATGATATGTGTCTAAATAACGAACCGCTGCCTGTCAAAACCAAATTCAGTTTTTAATTAAATTTTGAAAATATTGTTGCTAGTGTTGCTTTTATAACAAATGGATGTGGTAGACAGATACTTTCAAAATAATTATTGATGATAATCAGTTTCAAATGATGATAGTGTTTTAACGTAATTTTCTCAGATTGTGCACAATTAATGAACTTGGCAGTTGTTCTAGGATATTAAGCTACAGGTGATTCGTCTACTAGCCTGATGTATTTGTTTGAATTATTGAAGCAATCCATATCCTTGATTGTACCCGAATTGTGTGAAATTTCGACACCTGCAGTGTTGATGTAAACACTTTTTCACCATAAACACTTTTCCATTTCATATTGAAAACATAAATACAACAAACTTTTTCGATGTCGTGCCACCCGATGTTGCCATGTGTTTTTTCAGCTTATAGCTAATTAATGGCTTTTTATATCATTAAATATTTTGTGTTTTTATGTTAACTACTTATAAATGTATCCAAATACTGGAAATTCATTTTTGGGTTGATTGTGATGTCTTTATCCGTTTCTGCATGATCGTTTGTACACGTTGTTAATATTGAACTGAAATATCAACTCATCGTTATTATTGCATAGGTTGAATTTATGACTGAAATCTGGTGCAAGAACTTCCATTCATTCTTTCAGATTTGTATTTCATAGTTTTATATTTCAGAATCCTCTATGATTTGAAAAAGTTGGGCAGAAAGTGTACTGAATTGCTACTATCTGAGTGGGGTTGCTCAGGTGTAATTAGGCCAACAGTTGGCCATCTGTTATACCTTTTGGTTAACGCAAAACTTTTTAAAGCAGCAGATTACATTGCAAAGGATTTACTGCATCAAGGAAAACCAAAAAGACCCTGCAATGGCCCAGAAGCTAAAATTTCTCCAAGTTTGTTGCAGAAAGAGATTAGTCATGACCAGAAAATTCCAATAGACAATAATCATAACTCCCGAAACATACACCAACAAATTCCAGAAATTATAATCACTGATTCTAACCAAGAAGGTATGCCATGTTTCATTATACTATTAAGTTCATCCCTCACAAAATTGTTGGAATGTGTGTCACGAAAAAGATGAGACAAAATGCAATAAGCCCATGCGGCTTCATTGATTTCCACAGAATTTGGAAAAATGAACAAGTCAGTCTGTTTAAATGTACAGCTGCCGGACTGTACGATTTCTCCCACCGGCCATGACTCACTCCGGTAGCTGTAGTAGAAAAATTATTCATTCCTGAAAGATTCTCATATTTTTCATTCACGAGTCAAATTACATTTATTCTCCTCTGGAAACATCTATAGTATTTTGACATGAAGTTATCTAGTCAGTGTGCATTTCAGGAAAGTAAATCAAAATTCAATGAATCTTGAAATATATCAGTAGAACAAATCTGGTTGACAAATTTCTTAATATTTTGTAGACAAGAGTACAAATCTTGAGGAGTAAAAAGATTCATAAAAGAAACCATGATATTGTCTCTCAATTTAGTAATGGGAAAATCATAAACTGAAGCACAAAGTTAAATTAACAAGAATTAATAAAATTCATTTAGTTTTTAGTTTTGAACTAGTTAGTGATTTGTTGATTGGCAGTCTCTTTTACAGTATTACTAATAGTACAGTACAATTTTTGTATTCCTGAAAATTCCACACACTGTGGGCAAGACGTTGAGAAACTCAGTGAACTGAAAATAAACAATGGAAAGCTGTGAGAATATTATCCCTATCATAGTTCAGATAAATTTTATGTTTTTTTTCTCTCCTGAACTTCATGTTATAATACAACAATTCATATACATGAATTTTCTTTAAATTATTTATTGTTAATTATAACAGGCACTATCATTAGCTTACTACCCTTATTTCCATTCAAATATCTCTTATGGAAAAATTCTCTGTGAGAATAGTGTTAACACGAATAGAGTATTTATATTACAAAAAGAAGCCGTAGAGATAATATCTGGAGCTGGTTTCTTAGACTCTTGTGTAAACCTTATTATTTAGCGTTGAGAATAATGACGGCTTCTTCTATTTATCTGTATCAAGTTTTGATATATATTCATAAAAATAAATCAGCACAAAACAGAAACTATTTATCTGTATAATTTTTGAATAGATTTATAAAGGAAATCAACACAAAACAGAAGTTGTGATTTTCATGATCATAATACAATATGGTAAATGCTGGTCCCACCCGGCATCGCCCAGTGAGATACCATCGCAACAGCTTAGGCTTTCGGGCTAACATTTTGTTGCTGTGCCGCTGTTTCCGGTTTCAAAGATGGGGTGGGAGCTGATTCGAGGGCATCATCCTACAGAAGTTATTCGAAAACCACTATTTTTCACAGTCAACATGGTCTTCCTAACATCAGTCTACAGAGAAATAGCGTGGTATCTGCAGTTGCTAAGAGACCCACTGGTAACTTCAAAATAGATTTCTGCAACATCAGAGGGCTCAACTCAAATATAAACTTTGTGCACCAACATCTGCAAACAAATAGTCCTCATATTCTTGCACTCACAGAAACCAAAGTCAGTGCTTCAACAAACCCCGTCAATTTTCTATATCCCGGCTATGGTTTCTACTCCCGATTCAGACGTAACTTTGGAATATATCTTTTTATCAGAAGCGATATCTCCTGTCAACGAGAGGAAATTCTGGAACCCCAAAACTTTGATTATATGTGGTTCAAAATAATATCACAGAAGATCACTAAATTCATATGCTGCGTTTATCGACCACCAAGCGATACACAATAAAGTGCACTATTCTCTTCACTTGCAAACACCATTCACTTTCTGCAAATCAATCATTCCAATGTCGAAATTTCCATATTCGGTCACTTCAATGTCCACAATATCGAATGGCTCCAATTTTCAAATATCAACATCGAACAAGGTCGCGAAGCTGAAGCTTTTGCAATAGGCAGCGGACTGGTTTCAACGCAGATACTATCCAGAAGTTAGTCAGGAAACAAAGACGGAAATTCACTCACAGATTAATATATCCTCAGGTCAAACAACCAGAAATCAAGAAATGGGTAACGCTAACATATTTTGGAAAAAGAACAGAAATAATCGCAGGTTTCTTAAACAATGTGGAAGTAGCATTCAGACCACATGCCTGGTTATCTCATTTCCTTTTCAATGCCAAAGATAAGTTCGACAAGTTGGAAAAAAAAATCTGGAGTGTATAAGCTTAAGTGTCCGGAGTGTAATAGTGTTTATGTGGGACAATGCGGACGAAATTTCCAAAATCGGTATGCTGAACATGAAAGGTCCTTCAGACTAGGAAAAAATGATTCGACGTTTTCAAACCACTCCTTGGCATGCAACCACAAGTTTCCGAATCTAAACGATACGGAAATTCTGCACTATGCAAGGATGGGTTGCAAACTCATTTATTTAGAATCCTTGGAAATTTACAAGCATAAACATTGCGGGTGCAACCTGTTAAATGATCAAATCGATTTAATTTACTCTCCGGTTTTTAAATTGGCACATCTGCATTGTGAACTGTAAATTCAGGTACTCAATCAAATACCTGAATGGTATATATTGGCGAATGTAATGTATAAGTTTGAAAATGTCCGTATAGGACGAAACTGCAGTAACTTTGGTTACAAATAAAAGTGGTAAAAAACATAGAACGTAAATTGAGTTATCAGAAAACATTCGGAATGTATTCATGTAGAATATCGAATAATTACATAGGGACTTTTCATTCTTTTCACTTTTGTCATAAGAAATATACCTATTTCCGTTTGAGGTGCTTTCAGAAGTGAACTTTTTGGGTTTTCATTTTTATCATGGATTATTTAATTTGTAGCCAAAATTTATTAATATTATTATGAATTAATGAATAATTGGTTTTTTACATTGTCAAATTTTAAAAATCCAAATAACTATGAAGAAACCTATGTAACCGGGAGTAACACATCCCGATTATCTTTAGGCTTGTTCCATGGGTGAACTACTGTTTTTTGGGGATCACGGCATATTTTAGCTCAATTTATTCTGAATAGCATAAGCATGAGTGAATGGTGAAGAAAGAATCTCTAGGATTGGATCTGAGATCATCAATTAGTGAAGTAGAGTTCACGACCTTTAGCAGTTTTGTTGGTAATGGTTTTTGCAGTTTTTTGGAAATTTGATATGGCATATTTTTTGGCATGTAATGCATTAACTTCTGCATTCATAGCAATTTTTGAAGATTTGTTGCTCTGCATGACTGGAATATATAAGATAAAATCTTATTACTTTGTACATTCATTTCTACCGTTTTCATATGCTACCATATTCTACCGTTTTCATATGCTTTGTTAATAAGATTTTTTCTTAGACAATAAAGTACAGTGATTGATTGATTGATTGAATACCGAGGAAGCTACGCTGATAGCGAAAGGCGTCTAGAAATAAAATGTTTATGAAAATTATTTAACTGTTTATAGTCATATTACTCAAGCGTGAGTTGAATCTGGTTATATTCAGCTAGTGTCAAGGCTCGTAATGTATGTGAAATTGGCTTTTTATTACCCTTAATTTTATAATTTGGGATTGTCATAACCCTTCTAGGGCTGGCACCCTTAAAGATTTTGTTGGATCAAATAGAATTTGAAATTGCTCAGGATACATGATTTACAAAAAGTGAAATTAGGTTAACCAAAAAACCTGTAAATCCTTTCAAAGCAAACACCGTAATGAATTCATATGGAACTCTTAGTTATTTTTTGAATTTGTACAAAGAACCAGTTGAGTTGTATGTGCTATGAACATCACCTCATAATATTATCGTAAATTATAAATGATTTTGGTCGAATAACTCTGAGTTATGTAAGAATATATCTTAGGCCTAATATATTATTATTTTTTCCAGCAATGGCTAAGGCTGCTACAACTTCGACTGCTACGACTTCGGATGCTGATATGATTGAGTTCTCTAGTAGTTCTGTTCATGAAAATATTGAAGCAACTGTCACTAATTTTCCAGTCGTGGTTGATCATTCAAATTCAAGTTTTGAATCGAATGCAGGTGTTGACCAAGAAGTAATATCATATTTCAGTGCACCAGCTGCTCCTGAAACAACAGGAGCACTGGAAACATCTGTTTCTGATTTGATTCAATTCTCCAATTTGATTCCAGTAGGTGTTGAAGAAGTAGAGTTTACTCCTCTGGTTGGAATTAATGTCTCAAGTGTTAACACTCCTGTATCAAACGAGAGCCCAAAAACTCTAAATTTCAATGACATGAATGAATTAGTATCGAATACCAAAGAAAACTGTTCTTATTCTTTTAATATTCCTAACTTGACAGAGCTGAATTTCAATTCCGGAACTGGTAAGTGAATATTCCTCCTTTGCAATTTACCATGCATGCTTTTGTGACAAGTTTTAGATCTAATATACCTCTCAAATGCTAATCAATTTTGTATTACCTGGGCAAAGTTATCAATTGATTCATTTAGAATTGAATTAACCAAAATCAACTAGATTCACATAAAACTGCTTGACGTGCGTATCACCAACCAACTTGACGATATCAGGAAATTGTCTGTATATAGTAAGTTATAGACACTATTATATACGAGGTTTGTTGAAAAAATAAGGTGAATATTCAAATTTCGCGGGCTATTTATATTCAATTAGCGATTTTTTATGTTGGTATACTCGTCTCGAACATATGTTCACAGTTTCGGTTGTTCAGTTTGTTGGTGAGAGGCATACAAGTTAGAATTGTTTTGCGTGTTCGGCGATTTTCTGCTATCGAAAAAAATGGATAAAAGAATTTGCATGAAATTTTTTGTAAAAAAATGGAATAAAGTGCTCAAAATCACTTGAAATGTGTTGACAGTGACATACGGTGATTGTACTCTGAGTCAGAAAAATGTTTACTAGTGACACAAGCTTTTCACAGAAGGTCAAGAAGATGTAAATGAAGACGCTCGCCCTGGACGCCCAGCACACCAGCAATCGATGAAAATGTTGAGAAAGTGAAGAAAATTGTTATGGAGAATCGTCTAATCACTATTAGAGAAGTTGCTGAGGATGTCGGCAAATCAGTTGGTTCATGCCATGCAAATATTTTTGGGCATGAAGCGTGTGTCAGCGAACCGTCGCCTGAGCATCGCTCAGGAATTGTTGAATGGCCTTAAAAGCGATCCAAATTTACTTGAAAGGATCATAACTGGTGATGATTCATGGGTATATGGTTATGACATCGAAACCAAAGTCCAATCTGCTCATTGTTTTGATCGATTACTGTGGCGTAGTGCATCAGGAGTTCTTGCCACATGGTTGTACGGTGAATAAAGAGTATTATCTTGAAGTTATGCGCTGCTTGCGATAAGCAATACAAAGAGAACATTCGGTATTGTGGAAAAACAGTTATTGGCGTTTGCATGACGATAATGCACTTGTCACTGCTTGTTCGTAATTTTTGGGCCAAAAACAACACTGTAATCATGTCTCAGCCACCGTATTTAATCTTTTTCTGTTCCAAAAATTGAAGACAGACAGCATATACACGGGCTGGCCCAATCAGATGAAAGTATGACAGTGCTATGTAGTGGTGATGTGTTTGATAAAAGCGAAGAATATGGCATTTGAATGCGTTCAAACACATACCATTTCATGTACACCAGTTAGATAGGCAATCAATGTTGTTTTGTATCAATGTATCGGCCTCCTTTTTAATTATTTTAAATCATCAGCAAATCGCAAAGCTTCACTTTCATGTAAACAGTGAATTAGATCGTTAATGAAAAGGTTAAACAACAGTGGTTCCAAATGTAAACCTTGTGGAACACCTGATGAAACTGAGATGGTATTAGAATAGCAATGAATAAGCCTGAAAATTTGCGTTCTTTCCGTAAGATAGCTCTTGAGCCACTGCAATATTAATCCATCAACGCCCTATAAACAAAGTTTATGAATCAAGAGCTCATAATTAACTGTGTTGAAAGCTTTGGGAAAATCAGTGTACACAGAGTCATCTTAAGAACCTTTTTTCAGAACATCCTATAAAAAATCAACGTATGTAGTCAGACCCAGTTTTGCTGACTTTTTAGATTATATGGACGGAAAAAATTGGTTAGCAAAAAGGTCATTGTATTATATAGGTATAGTGTTACTTTCCCTTTTTCTGCTCACAAATTTCCAAAAGGATTCAACATAATTAATAACAGAAGGAGTTGGATGTAATCTGCATAATACTGTCCTGCTAAAAATTTACATCTAGATCTTGAACTACTAAATGCTGCATAGCTTTCTGGACACCGTGCACTCTTGTAGATCTTGTGAACTGATTTCTTTTCATAAACTAGTTTCTTCAGATCAGGGGAGTGCCAGCATGGGAATTTCTTTTCACAGATTTTTTTGCGGAACAAATCGATCAATTATGGAATAAAGAATGTCATAAAATATAGAAACCATATCAGATTGAGTAGCTGGAGGCAGAGCAGAAGGAATGGATCAATAATCATCTACATCCCATACTGCTGACAGAAGATTAAAATCTCCAAATAAGAAAAGGTTTGCACTAGCATATTTATCAACTAATGGTGATGAGCTGATCAAAGTAAGATAGTAAGTAAGATAAAGTAGGTAAAGATTTGGGTGGAAAATATACAGTACCCATTATAGATTTGTTATTGAAAAGAACAAACAATTATTCAATAAAAGGATCAGACTGCATTAAATGAGCAGAAAATCATTTTAACATAACTATTTATACACTCCCACCCCTGCTAAAGACACTGGATTCAGTAGAGCGGTCAGTTCTATAGACATTGTAATTGAGAACCCCAAGTTTTGCATAAATAAATTCAGGTGACAGCCAGGTTCCAGTGAAGATAATGATACCGTAAAAACAATTGCTAACATTCAAACTGAAATCAATCATCTTAGTTCTAAGACCTCTAAAATTTTGGTAATGAAGGGAAGGGCTGCCCGGTTTTAGTTTTTTAATGATTTTCGGTGTGTTGTTGAAGTATTTGCTTTTGCTTGATAGAGACTTTCATTAGGTTTGCACAGCCTAATTTAACTCTGTTTCTTAACCCTTTCAAGGCAGCTTTTCAGATTTTTCTCTTTTTCATTCGCCATAACATGAAATTAAGTAAAAATGGTTCAAGAAACTTACTAGAAGTGGTATAAATTTTGTTATTTTTCACAAAAAAAAATTATGATGTGGTTTCACCGATAAACCACAAAGCACTATTAACGGAGAAAATAAATTTCAAAGTTTTGTACTTTTATTGATGAACGTTTACAAAAATTATTTTTAATTCCTTGAATGGTATTTTGAAAAGCAATTTTTTTATCGTTCAAGCACAAACCGACTGAACATGTAGTACAAGACCATTTAGTTCTGTGCGGTTCATCTCTGGTACTACAAAGTGCACAACGCCTTGATGTAGAATATATAGGCATATGTGCTGCTGCATCCCATCTTCTTTCCAAAGGAATATTAGGCTTGAATTTGGTCACGGATGCAGCACTACTGCGTTTTCCTTTGTGTGGAAGTATACTGCCCGATCCTGCAAGCCCAGTAACAATAGAAAGACGAAAATTTTTGAGGTCCAAAGTTCGTTCATCACATCTTTCTTTGAATATTATGAAAGAATCAACGATTGTTACATCTAGGAAATGACATAAGATTCTGTGCCACCACTTGTGGCTTTTCCTGTCGAGTTCGTATATTTTTTTGAGCATATCTGCTTTGTCAACAAACCACATGTTGGCATTGTAATCCTTTATGATCAAGGGGCACCCGATTATCTCTTTTTCTCTATCTTTTTTTTTTCGCTCAACTGTTTCAGGAACATCAGGTTTATGATAGTTGCTGGCCAATGTTACCACACGCTTATCGGCCCATTTTATATATGATATTCCATCATCTGTAATTCGCCAATCAAAGTTTCCTCTTTTCAGTTTATTGTCTGGAATCAAGTCAGTGGGTGTTCTTTTTGATTGTTCCACAAGCATAAATTTTTTCGCCTTGTAACTGGCGTAAAAGTGGTAATGATGTGAAGTAGTTATCCATAAAAACATGATGATTTTCATTTATAAGCGACCTGGTAAGGTCAGTGACAACTCTGGGACCCAAGTTTTTTTCGGATGACCCACCAATCTTTCCAGTGTAAATTTGAAACTGATCTATATACCCACTTTGTGACGCACGAACCCAAACTTTATATCCCCATTTGACAGGCTTTTTAGGCATATACTGGCGCAAATGAGAACGACCTTTGAGCCGAATCATCGATTCGTCTATCGAAATGTCTCTTGATGGTTTATAGTGTGCAGCAAACGTTTCAGACAATATATCTAATAACGGCCTAACCTTATACAGTTTATCATAACCAGGATCTCCACGTTTGGGTTGTAATATGTTGTCATTCAGATGTAAATTGCCTAGCAACCAATCAAATCTTATCCTGGGCATCAGGTTGGAGATATAAGAGTCTCTTAGTTCTAATTTAGTAGACCAAAAATCTCGGTAGCTCGGCAAATCTTTGATGCTCATAAGGATGTTGATGGCAAAAAAATTTTTCACTTCATTCATATTTGTCAGTTGGAACGCTTTGCCGGAGCGACTACTAGCTTGAGTGGCATACAGGTTAGTCTGATAAACGATTAATTCAAATAACTTTTGTGGAAAAAACGCAAGAAATATGTCAATAGGTGAATTGACTTCCTCAGAAAAATTGCAATGTCCGCATTCTTCCAAAAACTCTCCAGGTGATGTGTAGTGCGATACAACGTTTTTCCAAACAAATTTGTCAATATTAAGTTTTTTACTAAGTTCTGCCAGAGCTATTAGGTCGTCCTCACTGTATTGCTCATTTTCACTACCTTCCTGTTCGTGAGTATCTTCTGGAAATGGAGCAGGAAAAATAATATCATTTTGAGAAGGTTCTAAGAGTCTCAAATCATTATCTTCATCACTTCCACTACTAGCTTCGGATTCACGACCAGATGGAATTTCTTCAAATATTGCGAGGTAATCATCGTAGTCCATGTTTTCGAGTATCGCGTAACTCCAAAATCGATCTAAAAATAAAATAAAGTTGGATTTGTCTTAAATGTCATCATGTGGTTCAGCTGCTTTGTGGTTTCTCATCGAAACCACCATAATCACAATCAAAGTACAGGTTGTTGAAATGAATTTCACATAACCAATGAAAAATATCGAAAATATGTTCAATAATCATTGAAAATTTGACACCTACCTGCCATTCTGAGCCCAATACAAAAATAATATCAGTAAAACCGGTTTATGTCGTGACACCTTGTTAAAACACGTGAGCTTACCATATGAATATCTAGGTTACACGCTACTTGCAGCTCCGATTCTAAAAATATGACTTCTCACCAATAGATGGTGCTTGTGTGCTACGGCAGAAAGTGTGGTATATTCATAAAGCCACAAAGCCGCTATGAATAAAATTTTTGAAAAGGTGGTTATGTGCTGAAACCACTAAGCTTGAAAGGGTTAAGATCTTATGTACCTCACGAACAGAACAAAGATCAACTTCAATTGGTCGATGACTGTTTTTGTTCTTCCCCAAACGTAGGATTTTTGTGTCATTGACGTTTTCCACCTTCATTAACCCCAGATGATACCGATTTTACTCGGTTAATATTTTCGGATGTAGATGATAATTCAGGTAGATTAAAGGTCAATAAACTCTTTGATCTATTTTGACGTTAATGAAGCTCATTCATGTTGTCATCATTTACTGAAAGTTTACTCTTTTCATCCTCCCAACTTCGGACTGAGGTTTTCAATTTCTTTTGAAATTTTGGGCCTTACACAATCGAAACAAAAGTAGAACAAGGTTTTCTTTTGAATTGCAACAGCTCGAAGTTCAGAAGCACTTGAAACAGTACAAATATAAGATGATATGACAGCTATCGCAAGCCACCGACTTATTTACAACCATTTTACCAATTTCACTGGAGTGTTAATGTGTGAGCAATATCAACAGTAATGTTCCTGGACTAATGGATGTTTCACAGATCGGCTAAGTTCTCATCAGTTCTCATCAACAATACAAATTTAGGGAAAAATAAAATTGGAAATATTAGACTTACTTTCCAATACCCCATATAAAAATGATATCCGATGATTCCTTGTATTCATGAAAATCACACAACTCCTATAGAATCTTGGGTGTATCAATATAGTGAAAACCATTTTCTTGTCACCCATACAGATTTCGAGAGAAAAATTGTTGCAAAAATTAGACTCACTTTTTAAAACACCTTGTAGAATTGTAACCAGAAGATGTGCGTTCATGAAAATTACACAAGATCGGTATGTCTACTACAGGATTTTGTTCTTGATTGGTATATATCGTGTTATCGTCTTCTACTGGTGGTTTTATTTGTATGGGGAGTTTCGATTGGTCATGTTCAGTTTGGTCAGGAGGTTTTGATTGGCTGAGAGGAATTGGTTGGGTAGGGAGTCCTGTCTGATCAGGAGGTTCTGGTTGGGTTTCAATTGGCGGTTCTACGTCAGGCGAAACCTGAATAGATATTATTCTCAATGGCATCGTCGCCAACATTTACCAAAACAGATATGTCATCTATGTCTAGCAAAGGATCTCGGATGGATGGGATATCAAAAAAGGGCTGATATTCAGGGGTTCCTAGGACTGTANTCAATGGCATCGTCGCCAACATTTACCAAAACAGATATGTCATCTATGTCTAGCAAAGGATCTCAGATGGATGGGATATCAAAAAAGGGCTGATATTCAGGGATTCCTAGGACTGTATGGATAGGATTTAGTTGATTACCAAAAGTTGTAGAATGAGGAGCTGAACGTGCGTCTCCGAACATTTCCTCTAATTCGTCTCAGAAAGTCCTTGTTCTTCTGTTGTGAACTTCTATATGTGATAGAGCGTCTGCATTCGTGTTGAGTTTGCCCGTTCTGTAAATCATATTATAATCGTACTCCTCGAAAAAAAACTAATCAATACAGTTTATTGTATGATTTTCGCTATAAACTCGTCGAGTTTGATACGCCATCGCAATATTTTCGAATTTGGGTCCTTCAGGGAAACCATCCATTGTAACGGCTTGTTGTTAAATTTTTGTCAAAACAGGTATAGGCGAAAATATTTAGTGACCCAAACAAATTGCCAACAGTTACTTTTCAATAACCGAATAATTCTGTTCTGAATCATTCAGTGTTCTCGAGGCATACGCCACAGGTAAGTCATTACCCATTGGTTCTTGGGACAAGATGGTGCCTAATGCAACATGACTTGCATCGGTAGATAAATTAAAGGGTTTTGTGAGGTCAGGATATTGCAAGATAGGCAGTCACGAAAATCACTTTCACTGAACAATGAAGCCACCGACAAGATGGATTCACGACTGTTTGGTGACATCAATTCGGAGGAGGAAGCTATATTGCTCCGACAAACGGAGCAATATTCCACCGAATTCCAAGACTTCGAACGTAACCACCACGAATATGTTTCCACTTGTCTTGTAACTGCTTGCCTACAAAAAAATAGCAGATACTTAGCCTCCGGCTGTACTTATACGAATCTTCATTACTTATTTACTACAACTGCAAGTTTAATTGTGACAAAATTATGTCGTGTACTATGGCTTACGTTGAAGCAGCAAATTTTTCCACACTTGGCAACAAATAACAATTGATTTCGAAGCACGAGTTAATTTTTCTCACCGCATTGGAGATATCAATGGCAAGCATATAAGGATTATGAAAACTGAATATTCTGGTTCATTATAAGAATTATTCCTCTGTTGTTTTAATGGCTGCTGCTGAAAGCAATTGAAATTTTTATATATTGATGTCGGTGCATATGGGAAAGATGCAGACTCAACAATCTTTGAGAGGTCTTCTTTTGGAAACGTTTTGGAATCTGGTTCGTTGCATATCTTACTGCCAGCAAAAATTAACAAAGATTCGAAGGTTGTGCCTTACGTTTTTGTTGTAACAAAGATTTTGGAATATCCCTCAACGTATTGCGTCCATTTCCAGGAAAGTGCCTTAATCACAACCAGAAAAATGTTAATTATCGATTGTCCCATGCTAGACAATTTGTAGAATGTACCTTCGGAATACTCACAAATAAGTGAAGAATATTGTATAAAGCAATGAACGTGAGTGTAAATAACTGTATTGTTATTGTTAAAGCAACTTGTGCGTTGCATAACTTTGTTCGAGACAGAGACGGTTTCTAATTTGAGGATGAGTTTATGACACCGATAACAGTGAGGACTTCTTGTTGCATCGAGGAAACAACAAGTTTACAGTATTAAAGAAGATTTGACAGACTATTTTGTAAGTTCTACAGGTTCAGTAGCCTGGCAAAATTCAAAAATATAAAAATTACGTGAACAGTAAAGTATTCGTTTGTGATTAATAGAAGGCTACTCTGAATATTATAAAACATTTTTAGGTGTACCACAGGTAGGTATATTTATAATCGGGTGTTTTATTTGATATATTTTCCAAACTGTTGTGTAAGATCCACAGTAAAATTTCACTAGGTAGTTGATAACTGAAAGAAAGCATATTTATTCCTAATAGGTTCGTTGCGGTCGTAAAATGCTCAGTGAAATCTGCATTTATTGCGGGTTGCAACCTGTACGTTCACTGTATATTTATTATGTATGAATAAATTGAATGTAAAATACGTTGATACTTACGAATGTTTAATTTATTTTTTCCCCCGTATTCTTTGAAATCTGAATAAAGTATCAGACAGATTTCCATCCACAGATTCTTTTTGATATTCCTACCTTTATAATCTTGGGATGATACATCCCAAATGGCCGTCCGACATCTGATCTCCTCAATAAACTGTGCTGTGGTGATGTCTACCCGTCTGAACTCATTTTCAGAGCTATTCACTCGGACTGGGGGGATGACAACAGAGATCATAACGCGAACAGAAACATTGAATGTCTTCATTTAA